TCATCATCATCATTATTGTTATCATCATCATTATTGTTATCATCATCATTATTGTTATCAATATCATTATTGTTGTTATCATCATTATTATCATCATTATTGTTTATTCATCATTATTGTTGTTATCATCATTATTGTTGTTATCATCATCATTATTGTTTGTCATCATCATTATTGTTGTTATCATCATCATTATTGTTGTTATCATCATCATTATTGTTGTTATCATCATCATTATGGTTGTTATAGTTATTATCATTACTTTTAATAGTAGTAGTAGTGTTATTATTAACAACATCATTAATAAGAACTTGATATTAATATATGTAACAGTCCTACGATAATTTAAGTTTAGGCCGAGCCTCTGCCGGTTCAGAGAACTATGAAACGGCCTGGAAACTACACTTGTACACTTCCTACACCCCTGGGCTTCGCTCTCTCTGTGGTAGTTTGTGTGTGTGTGTTTGTGTTTTTATATAGTTTCTATATCAATCATCACCACCTTTTATTGGCCATCACCACCTTTATAAATAAAGTCTTATAGATTCTAATAGCTATATATATCTATAGCTATTGCCATATCCTTCCATCTCTCTCTCTCTCTCTCTCTCTCTCTCTCTCTCTCTCTCTCTCTCTCTCTCTCTCTCTATATATATATATATATATATATATATATATATATATATATATATATATATATACACACACATTATATATACAAACATTTATATATGCATATGTATCTATATCTATCAATCTATATATACATACACACATATATACATATACATACAGGAAATATAAATATGTGTGTGTATATATATATATATATATATATATATATATATATATATATATATATATATATATATATATATATATATATATATAGTGTATGTGTATATGCATGTATGTATATAGAATATATATAGACACTTATGTAGAGGGAGTGAGATCACACACATATATTCATAAGCATGTCTCTCCATCTATATCTTTTACTAAGTATTTTTATCTCATTCATAATAAAAATAAAAACCTCAAGCATTTCATTATAATTTCATTAAGATATTATGATAAAAAAAAATTATAGTTCAGTAAACACTAATCTCACACATTATTTATCCATTGCAGACAGTAAATTTACATTAGGCTATTAGGTGTGATTATTGGTAACCTTTGTTATTTAATATTTATTATGATTTGTTGCTATAGGGGAAAATTGTCATATTGATGGAAATTATACATTTTCATTCAGATTTCGTACTTGAAGATCTGTTAGAGACTTTTAATTCATGATAAATTAAACTTGCTGAGTGATTTACATCGTGTTTCCGCACCTCTATGCATTGGCAAAGGCCAATCCTTATTTAGATTAGTCATATTGTTTTTTTTTGTTACTATGCGTCCTCAAAGTGACATTTACACACGCCTGAAGGTATTTGTGAAGCTGATATGAGCATGCATAAATACGTACATTTATACATATATACATACATAAATACAAACATACATTTATAGATACATATATACAAAAAATACATACAAACATAAAATAACTTACACGTTTGAGGCTCACGTCGTTTGCAGTCTTACTGTTGAATTTGCTATACACACCTGTAACACACCTGTGCCGTGTGATTCGTTAAAAGGTATTCCGTGCTGTCCATTACCTTTCGTAACTAGCACATCGCACGTTTCCCTTGTACAGTGACATGCTTTAAAAGTACAGAGAGAAACTGTAACGGCACCCAGTTTTTTAAAAATTCCCGCGCGTTTCTTCAAGCCCCTCTTGCCCGCAATATGGGGCAGGAAAATCGACTTCCGCGGTGCAAGAAAGGTTATTAGTTGTTGTAAATATTCGATATTTTTACGGTATTACGATTGTATTGTCATATCCCTGTTAGGCAGAATGAAATTCTCCTTTACGTAATTATGTGTGGGCTTGATCAACATGCGAAATGAATGTATTACAATAAATGAAAAATAAAAACAAAGTGGCAACATTGTTTTGTTCACACAGGAACGTAAGAGTTAACGGAAAGAGTGCGAGTGTGATAGAGCCTTTGATGTTTACATTGTTTCATGAAACTAAGGCGTTTTGCATGGATCGAATGTGATGGCGTTAGACCTTGGCAGCGACCTTATTAATTTCCTTCATTCTATGCTACGATGGATGTATACTTACAGTGCCTTTTCACCGTCGTATTGTAACAACTCCCACATTAAAACGACAGAAGGTAAAAAAATGCATTTGATATCCTAAGTTTGATTTAAAACATGTGATATTTATCGCCTTCGTATTGTAACCAGTCAACCCCCACATTACAACGACAGAAGGTAAAAGAATGCATTTGATATCCAAAGTTTGATTTAAAACATGTGATATTTATTAAACATCTGAGATGTTATTTAAAAAAAAAAACAAAAAAAAAACAGGAGTTTGTTGAAAAACAAACTATATATATGTGTGTGTGTGTATAATCCGTTGATGGCAGTGCAAGTCAAAAGAATTATGCATATATAAGCCATAATCATTAACTTTATTTTATCAACATGAGAACATTTGTATTTGTATTTGTATGTATGTCTACTATACATGTATTTTCTCCACAAAAAAGTACTACTTGTACAATTCTCCATCGTGTGTGCAATTAATTTACTAAATATACCAGAAAAATGAAAAGATACGTAATAAATGGACACTTCTGGTATTAAAGTGAATAAAGAATACAAGGTGTGACGCTACGATGATGGTCATTTTCCTTTTTTGCAGGATTAAGGAAAATTCACACCAGAGATACACGATAAAGAGTATTTATGGCTTAGTATGCGTGGAGAATTGATGTAATCTCCTGTAGTACCAAATCAACTACATGGGAATAATTAGGCAAAACTTCCATGATAATTAATAACATTCCTTTTATGTGTGACTTGTAATGTAGAGGACATTTCCTTAATACAATTCACATAAAATATACTTTTTGTCCAAAGGAACATGATCTTGAATGAATATTTATCCGATAGGCATATGGAATGAGCGAAAGCAAAGAATAATTTATAACATAACGGTGCAAAATGATATTGTTTTTCACAATTACTACAAGAGACTAAAATAGTCATTGTCATTAAATTGGAGATCTGAAACTTTTGAAATTGAACTTTTTATTATTAACACTATTAATTATCATTTACTTTACCACAGAGCCTTAGATATGCTATATAATTTATTTGCATTGGTAATCAGTCCATTAAAACATTTTCTTTTATATTGAATTTCATTTAGAAAATTAAACTCAATTGTTTTGTCTACTTCAGGGATTTTAATCAAACTTCAGATTTAAACTTCAGTGGTATTAGTATGAAGTTCAGTTTATTCGACTTGAGGGTGAAACCGTACTTATTTTTACAGAGAAAAGGATAAATGATTTATAATGCATGAAGGTGCATCTTGTTACCCCCCCCCCACACACACAAACAAACATACAAAAATGGTTTAAAAAGTGCTAGTGTAATAGGTCCTTCTGGCTGAATTTGGTTTACCCCCCCCCCCCAAAAAAAAAAAAAAAAATATGGTGAATATAGCAGGATAGTTTGATTTGAAGATTATTTTCAGCGCCATGGGCTGTATTATATATATATATATATATATTATATATATATATATATATATGTGTGTGTGTGTGTGTGTGTGTGTGTGTGTGTGTGTGTGTATGTATATGATTTTTTCATTTATTTTCTTGTCATTATTACTTATTTATTTATTTATTATTACACACGCAAAATACTTCTTTCTTGGCCGCTCACTCTTTTTTCTCAAGATTAGACGCACAAAGACACAGGTGCGTGTGTACACTCAAAGGGACCTTGCTATAATGTCTGTCTCGGGTCACTTTAGGTCATGTGACCTCACTGTCCCATCACTCTAGATTCTGACACACATACACACACACACACACACACACACACACACACACACACACACACACACACACACACACACACACAACACACACACACACACACTTTTATTGAACGCTCTTCCTTCCTAGATGTATTTATTGATATCTCAATGAGTTTTTTTTCCCTAAAGCGTTTTTATTATTTATTTATAAAGCTTTGCTGACGTATCTTTTAAGATTCTTTTGTCAGCATAACAGGCAGTAACCCAAGTCGCTATTGACAATCAAATTGTATGAAGAACATCCTTGACTTACATTTTGACTTAAAGGGATACTTGTTGCTAAGTAGTATTTTTATGCGATGTACAAATCCTTCCCTTAGACCCTCCACACAAAAGGTGAATCCACAGACATCTGGGAGAGAACAGAGAATGGCATTTCTTAAATACACACACACGCGCACACACACATATATGTGTGTGTGTGTGTGTGTATGTATATGTGTGTGTGTGTGTGTGTGTGTGTGTGTGTGTGTGTGTGTGTGTGTGTGTGTGTGTGTGTGTGTGTGTGTATAGATTGCGTCACTGAAAACATAACGGTGGTATCTAACAAGGTAAAATCTAGAGCATATCCTTCAGATGATGGTGTGGAAGAAGAGCTCACTAAACACGATTTTTGGAGGACTACGCCAATATGGTATAGTTAACACATGGAACTCATGTGGGCGCACGCCATGGGGCATGTTGGCAGTTACATGGTTGTTTTACAGACAACAGTTTCAAAAGAGAAATATTTATGCGTGCGCTCGCGTGTGTATGCATGTGAAATCTTGTTTCAAAGTTTCAGGGTTACGAATGTGGCAGGGAGAAAGGTGCAATGCAATAACGAAAGTTCATACTATGTCATGTTACTAAGCTATACGTGCCTCGTCATGAGCATAGCAAATACAAATTTTCCTGCTGACAGTACTAAGACAAAGGTAAGGTAAGGGGCGGGGACTCGTCGGTGGTCACGTGGCAGTGACTAGCCAATCGCAGGTCAGAAAAAGGCTCACCCAGCTGCTCCGGTATTTGTGTCGCGGCTCTGACACGCGCGCTCGTCAGTGTGGTCCTGACTCGTGTGGCGTGAGGAGTGATAGTTCTTGCTCTCCCTTAGGGTTGTATGAAAAAGTGTTTTAGAACGTTATCGAGAAATAAAAAGTGGTCGTACAGCGGTAGTGATTACTCATGAAAAAGTAAGTTTTCGTATTTTAGAATGTTATCGTTGTTTTCCACATACACCATTAACTCTCTCTCCCACTTCTCCCCCTTCTTTCCCTCCTCTCTCCTCCTCCATGGGTATATCAATCAAATTACATAAATAAAACAATGCTAAACAAACCGGTACGCTAATCACGAAGGCTTTATTACTCCTGTTCAGAATAATCCAATGAAAGTTTCTCACTCTTTGTTAACCCCACTTAACGGTCACTACAATGAGTCCCTACTCGCGTTATTACGGGAGAAAGGGAGAAAGTTGTATGGGCAAACAAGGGATAGATTTACCTGAAAATTATTGAGGTCATCAGGGTCTTCCTCCTTGGTTGTCCCGTTTCTCGTCTGCTTCGACCTTCCCCTCTGCTGGTCAAGTTAACATTACGCGGGCAGTTACAGGTTTACTTGGGATTGCTTGTTTGGTCGTTTGGCAATTAAGACTGGCAAATGATGGTAGGTCGTCGTCTATTAGTTTTTTTTTTCATATTTGTCCATAGTGCGCTAGAAAACCCGGTGGTGGCAGTCAGAGTGGTCGTTCACTACACTCTCTCCTGTGTATAGTAGGAATGACAGGAATAACCTGACATGACAGAATTCCACCATGTATAGTAGGAATGACAGGAATAACCTGACATGACAGAATTCCACCATGTATAGTAGGAATGACAGGAATAACCTGACATGACAGGTTATTCATGTTATTCCTTCGTCAAGGTCATATCTCGCGCTTGTGATTGTCGGGAAAATCTACGGTTAATTCACGGCATTTTTTTTTTTTTACGTCGGAGGATCGCCAACGTGGCCAAGCTAGACCGTTTTTAAGTGAATGAATCAACAAATCACCTGCTCTCGGGAATCATGTGCACTCATGTTATTTCTTATCCATTTTTCTTTCTATTTTCTATCCACATCTCGGGCATTTCTCTAGATCAGTGAGAATCCACGTGTACTTAGCGCGACGTTCAGCCAAGACGCGGAGTAAACTATTGGATTCGACACTACGTAATACAGCCTAATTATATATGTGAACATAGGTTATGTTGGGGACATAGTGTAGGTTGTCGTGTGTGTGTGTGTGTGTGTGTGTGTGTGTGTGTGTGTGTGTGTGTGTGAGAGAGAGAGAGAGAGAGAGAGAGAGAGAAGAGAGAGAGAGGAGGAGGAGGAGAGAGAGAGAGAGAGAGAGAGAGAGAGAGAGAGGGAAGGATATATAGTATATTATATAATATTATATATTACTATATATAATATATAATATATTATATATATAATATATATATATATTATATATATAATGTATATAATAAATAATTATTACTATATATTTATATATATATTGTATATATATAGTAATAGTATATAGATGGATTATATATAAGTATATATCTAATATTATAATATTATATATATATATATCATATATATGAGATTATTGGAAAGCAACCCACACCTATTATTAAGAATTTGATCTTACCATGTGGTAAGAACAATCACTCCATGATAGTTTTCTTCTATGCATTTTCCTCGCAAATTGATAATAAACGGAGTTTTTAGGAGATAAAGTTCACGATTTTAAGGACCGCAGTAACCTACCGACCTGCGACAGCGACAAAATGACAAAAAGTCGTTATGCCGTACGGAAAGTCGGACGGATTTGTAGCGGAAGACGTATCGGCGCGGGAATCAAATGAGCCAATTAGATTCGTTCGTGAACGTGACGTGACCATAGACATTCAATAGAACCAATCAGATATGGAAAGTTCATCACGTGACAATAGAAGCTAGGCTAGGAGAAAGCAGTGACATTCAATCAGTTTAATCATGGCTACACAGTGCGCAGCTTGTGAGAACAATTATTTCGACTTTCTTGCAAATATATCGCAACAACGAAGCTAGTTTGCAATACTTGCGAGACCACGGTGTTCTTCCAGTGGATGTCCAGTGCCCGCACTGCAAACACCGTGCATTATAGAAAAGACAGACCACCAGTGGGTTTGTGGTGCTTGACAAAGATCGCAAAGAAAAAGGAGAAAACAGTGCAATTTCACGTAAGCGAGTACAAAGGGACATTTCTCTCTGGAACTAGACTTGAACCCTATCAAATACTTCCTTCATTAATCACTGGCTAAGCAAACACTGTGATCATCAGACCGTTATTGGGGTGCCTCCATATTGGCGAGCGCACGAGTGTGGACTGGCGAAGCTTTGCTCCGAGGTTACAGAGCGGTGGCTTGACAACCAGGACCCATAGGTGGACCAGGAATTGTGGTAGAGTTGACGAGACACTCTTTGCAAGCGAAAAATTATGAGAGGGGGAGGCTGCTGAGCCAGATATGGGTGTTCGGCGGGATCGACGCGCACGTCAGCAAGAAGCTATTCCTTGTCCCCTTGTTTTGAACCTGAGCAGGAAACGTGACGCAGAAAACCCATACCTCTTATAAAGAAGTATATTCTCCCGTCAGTCATCGTAAGTGACGGATGGAGTGCATTCGGACGATTAGCAAACCACGGATATGACAAGTGATAAACCACACGGAACACTTTGTCGATCCGATAACCCGGAGATCCACACTCAGAACATTGAGCGATTGTGGCGGTGACGTTAAAGAGTGGAGCAAGAGCAGGTAATAGACAAGAATTCTATAAACAATACTTGGCTCGGTATCTGTTTCGCACCAATACAAGCCGGAAATAGTCCACCACCCACTTCTTCGTCGAAGCGGGAAGCTGTACCTCCGCTGTCGGAGAAGGAACGGCGGATAGCGATCGCAATTCCCGGCATAATGACGTGGATGCCCTGGCGATCCCAGTGAACCCCGCAACCTGGCCTGTCTGGAGTTAGTGCAAGGTAAGACGTGGTTGAACTGTTCCTCGGTCTTGCCTCTCTCCTGCCCGGATACGAGGTGAATTTTGCAGATTAGGGGGGGTGGGGGGCGGCAGCCCCTCCCCCCCTTGAAAGGGTGTTTAAGGGGACGGAGCCCTTTACAATCAGGAAATGTGTCGATACTATTATTACTAGTGTTTTACCGATATTTCTCGAAATACCTTCCGATATGTATATGTAACTTGCCCTCCTCTACTATCGGGACCGATATCGTAGCTATGCTTCGTTTGCGAAGGAAATGAGTGCTAGATTCGTTTGAAACACGACGAAAGCTATCGGAAAATTTTTATTCGTGCAAAATAGCCTGTGGGGTTGCATTTCAAATATATATATGTATATGTATATGTATGTATAGAAAAGAGAGAGAGAGGGGGGGAAGGAAGGAGAGAGAGAGAGAGAAATTTAAGTCAACAGGAAATGAAAAGGCCTCCGGCATGTTCGTGTGTTTTCTTATTCTTCCTTTCGCTGTTCCTGCTGCAGAGTGTGTGTGTGTGTGTGTTTGTGTTTGTACTGTGTCTGTGTTTGTGTGTGTGTGTGTGTGTGTTTTGATGCAGAACGTAAGAGACGGTAAAGGAGCGGCAGACAGTTTATTGGCGAGAGACAGTCGAGGTTTGCCCGTGGAAGGAAGAAGGTTATCTGTCTGTCTCGTAGAAGGCTGTATCACTTCACAGGGTACGTCTCTCACACAGGGTAAAGCAAGGAGGCAAGACACGTCTCTCACACAGGGTAAAGCAAGGAGGCAAGACACGTCTCTCACACAGGGTAAAGCAAGAATGTGAGACCAGACGAGGCAATTTTGGAGCGAAAGACACGCCCAAACATTCGAGATGGTGTGAGGTCTAGCGATTATGTTTCTACCACCCCTTTCCTGGTGTGGCTAATTACATATATGGAGATACGTGAAGGTTCATAATGGATACATGTGAGTTCATATTGAATGTGTACTACTGAATGTGCAATATGTAATTGGTGTATGGATATAGTCGATAGGAAAAGATGTGGAATGGTAAATAAGAATGTTGTGACCCCCTATTCCACAACATTTCCTTAAATTCACTTCAGTATCGAGACAGTATGTTAGATTAATAAATGTTAAAGTGTTATCAATAATTGTAGTCTAACTTAGAATGATTTATCAATGGATTTTATAATGACAATGCTAATGCTATTCATCTGTGCATTACAAGAATTGAGTTAAATCTTGTAAAAAAAAAAATAACTTGATAATTATCAATGTAATTTAACATACCTACAATATCAAAGATTATACGGACTAAAATAGACCAGACAATATTAGGGTTCTTGACACGTTACATACAACTACAGTTATGACTCACTGTTATGACTCACAGTCACGAACTTGCTAAAAACAAAACCAACATTCAAAGAAACGTTATATCTTTATGACTCAAATATTATAAAACAAAATAGCAATCATATAAATAATGAATTATTTGATATCTCACAAGTTAAAATAGATTAATTCGATATCACATAAAAGAATAATGATAAAAGCAAATAAAAGTAATAACAAAATAGTCAAGCTCAGTGTTACTATCTTCCATTTCTAGTTCCTGTCCATTATCTTCCATCACCAGAGGAGAGAGAAGAGAGAGAGAGAGAGAGAGAGAGAGAGAGAGAAAGAGAGCGAGAGAGAAAGAGAAAGAGAGCGAGAGACAGAGAGAGAGAGAGAGGGGGCGAGGGTGACAGTATTTTACCTTACCTTAAAATCATTGCATCTAACATCATCGTAAATCTTCATAAAATCCGACCTATTTTTTTTATAATCCTCTCTCTCTCTCTCTCTCTCTCTCTCTCTCTCTCTCTCTCTCTCTCTCTCTCTCTCTCTCTCTCTCTCATACTTTCCTTCTCCCCCACCCCTTCTCCTCTCTCTCTCCTCTCTCTCTCTCTCTCTCTCTCTCTCTCTCTCTCTCTCCTCTCTCTCTCTCCCTCTCTCCCTCTCCCCTCCTCCCCCTCCCTCCCCCTCTCCCTACTTGCCACCCGCCTTAATTTCTTGTTCCCAGACTGTAATTCCCTTTCTTTCGCTTCTGTTGGTACCCTACGTGGTACCACTTTGAGTCTCAGGGCGCCTCCTTTTTTCTTTTCTTTTTCTTCTTTTTCTTTTTTCATATTTTATTTTTTTTTTCTTTGCTTTTTTCTCTTTCTTTATTTCAATTTTGGCGTCTCGTACCAGGTGGTTTCGCTCGTTATTTGTGGTATCCGGTTCCTCCTCGTGTAGTTCGCGTGGTGAAGACTAACCCTTCGAGTGACTGCAGGAATATGGCTGCAGCTGTTGTCATTTACCAAGGGAACGTGGAGGTAATAATAACACTTGCGGTGAGAATTTTTAGCAATGGGTGGCGAGTTTTAGAGTGTGTGAGAGTGTGAATGTGTGAGCCTTATTATCATCATTATCATCATCATCATCATCATCATCATCATCATCATCATCATCATCATCGTTGTCCGTATTTTTACCCTGATCCCTGTTATTATCATCATTATCATTATTATTACAATTACTGTTATTACTACTGCTGCTGCTGCTAACACTACTACAACTACTACTACTACTATAACTGCTGCTGCTACCGTTACTGCTGTTATTATTGTTATTATCATCATCATCATCAATCATCATCATCATCATCATCATAATTACTACTACTACTACTACTGCTGTTGTTATTCTTGTGACTATCATCATTATTATTATTGCTATTTTTGTTATTACGGCTATTAGCATTATCATCATTATCATTTTTAAGTGTTAATAATAATAATAAAAAGGATAAAAGTAATAATAACGATAATGATAGAAATAATAGTAATAATAATAATGATAATTCATTATAATGTCAATAGTAAATATAATGATTATGAAAGTTATAATTATTGTTATTGTTATAATCATTATAATTAGTCTCCTTAATTTATACGACCTGTTTTTGTCCCTTAACTTAGTTCTACTGATTTATTATTCTTAATTTACGGTTATTGTTTTTACCGTTGTATTATCATCATCATCATCATTGTCATTGTCATCATTATTTTGTTTTTTGTTTTATATTATCTTACCTTATTTCATTTTATTTTCTATTTTGCTTTGTTTTGTTTCATTTTAATGTTTTGTTTCGTTTTCTTTTCTTTTCATTTCGTTTCATTGTATATATTTATTTTTTTACATCCGTCAAGGCAATGGGGTCACTGATGCAATAAAGATATTGGCACTTGAAGAATTAAATGAAAATCACCTCTTTCTTAACTGCACTGGTGACGTCCGTAAACATAACCTCCTTGGCGGAAGTAATTAAGGTAATGATGATAATGTATGGCCAATACAGGAGGGGTAATTGATGCAATCATAAAAAATATATATTCTGGTTCTGGATCACTACCAAAATTTGCATCTAAGTTAGGATAAGGTACACTTTTGGTGAAATATGCATAAAAATCTGTTGGTAATTTTTTGAAACAAACAAACAAGCTAACCAACACTTGCCAATAAAAAAGGCAAGTAACTTTTTAAACAAGCTAATAACACTGCCGGTAAAATATTAAAAATCTTGGTAACTTTTTGAAACAAACAAACAAGCTAACTACCAACTTTTAACAAGTCTGCAGAGCAATAACATGTTGGTAACTTTTTGAAACAAACAAACAAGCTAACTAACACTACCAGTAAAATATGCAATATGTTGGTAACTTTTCGAAACAAACAAGCTAACCAACACTACCAGTAAAATCTGCAATATGTTGGTAACTTTTCGAAACAAAGAAACAAGCTTATCAACGCTACCAAAATCATAACCCCCTTTGGCTTACATAATAACCTTATAGAAGTTAACACGAGACCATTCTTACAGAACGTGCGTTTGGGTCGACCTCTGCCGTTCCAGCTCATTATGAAACGACTTGACTACACGACCACATTTTCTACACCCCTGGCCTTCGTTCTCTCTATGGTAATTTGTAGTTTTTGTTGTGTATATGTGATTTTAGTTTATGTTAGTTGTGGTAGTTCGTGGTTCCTGTTTTTTTGTTTTTGTAACTTTTGTTGTGATATTTTGTGATTTTTAGTTTTGTAGTATTGTGGTAGTGTTCGTGGTTCGTGACTTTTGTTATGTTTTGTGATATTTAGTTATTATTGTTAGGATTGTGGTAGTTCGTGGTTCGTGGTTTTTGTTAAATTTGTAGTTTTTGTTGTGATATTTTGTGATTTTTAGTTGTTTTTGTTTGTATTGTGATAGTTCGTGTGTCCTGGTTATTGTTAATTTTGTAACTTTTGTTCTGATATTTAGTGGATTTTAGTTATTGTTAGTATTCTGGTAGTTCGTGGTTCCTGGTTATTGTCTTAGTTTTGGTGATTAGTAATGAGTGAGTCTATCTAGGATGATAATATGAGTGATGTGTCTCCCTCATCCCTCTCTGTCTGTCTGTTTCTTACTGTCTGTCTTTCTGCGAGCGACAGACGGACAGCCTATAGCTCTCTGTCCGGACTGAATCTCTGTCTGCCAGCTGTTTCTCTCTCCCGTCGGTAAACTTGCTATAAGTTAGTAAAGGTGCCGTCACACTACCACTTTTTCCGTCAATTTTTTGACAATTATCTGAAAATTTGTCCATTTTTGAGCGAATTGTTGATTCTCCTGTCAGACGATAATGATCGTTTCCGTCTGAAAACCTTTCCGTCAACTTTTTTCAGCCAAGCAAAGTCAAATCAAGAGCTATATTCGAGAATGTTTGTATATATGTTAAATATAATTGTCAAAAAGTTGACGGAAAAAGTGCTAGTGTGACACGGCCTTTAATAAGACGTCTATTGACTCTTCACCGCTACCCAAGTTTGCAAATTCTTGCCAGGAGCGACTTGTTTGCACACGGCCCCTACCTCAGGCCCCGTTTACAAGGGTCGCAGGAGTGGGATCTAATGCGTTATTACATCTATTTATGCTGAAAGATACACGAGAGGAAACTGCATAATAACTTGATTGCATGTCAAATCTACAACTATTATCTTATTAAGTAAAATCATAATAACACCAAACCCATATATATATATATATATATATATATATATATATATATATATATATATATGACAAAATTATAATAATGATAAGTAACAAATAAAACATAGTTTGATGTATTAAAAATTTTTTTCCAGATGACAAACTTCGAAGGTGTCCTCTGATGTCGACGCAACACACTACAGGTTAAATGGAACTTCCTAGCCCTTTGCGTTCCAGCATCCCGTGACAGGCCCTATCTTTGTTCAAAAAAAGGGTAAGGACAAGTGATTATATGTGTGTGTGTGTGTGTGTGTGTGTGTGTGGTGTGTGTTGTGTGTGTGTGTGTGTGTGTGTGTGTGTGTGTGTGTGTGTGTGTGTGTGTGTTGTTTGTATGTGCGCGTAATTATTTCGTGTATGCATATTTAGGCATATATTCTTTGTTTGTGTGTGTGTGTGTGTGCGTAATTATTTCATATATGTTTTTCTATGCATATTTTCTTTCTTTCCTGTGTATACTACCTACAACCAATGATTTTCACTCACTCGACGCACAGACACACACAGATTCACACGCACTCCCACATATAATAATTATTTCTAAGCGCGAATTTTGAATTTAGGGGAAAGATGAAAAAATAAAAATACTTGTTGGTTAATGAGTGATATTGGGATTTTGATTTTGCTTTGTCTGTGTTATATGATGAGTAAAAAAAATTCGTATCTATGATTAATGGAAAACGTGTATTACTTTTTTGATTGATAAAATAGCACGATCTCTTTTTTTAGTATAATCCATATGGTTAGGTTTTAAGTTAATTGAGCATCTATTTGTTCTTTTCTTGTTACTTCATATATCAATGTACACCTATATCAGTATAATTTTATGCTGTCCGATTATAAATATACACATGTACATTTTTGATTTATTTTTTCATACCATTTTGACCATTCTTTAGATGAAAGAATGATATTCTTGAACATTGATCAAGTGTTTGAGCAGTAAAAATCGAATTGATAAATAATCAGACTTCAAGCTAGTTGTATCACACACACACACACACACACACACACACACACACACACACACACACACACACACACACACACACACACACACAGGAACATCTTAGACAACCGTGCAGTAGCGTACGGAACGGCGATGTGTTCCTGATGCGTTCTGTCCCCCACAGGTGAACGTCACCCGGAGCGCCGCCATGTTCCCCCGCCAGCCGCCCCCGATGCAGTGGGCCCCCAGGGATTATGCGGCTTATAGTGCCACGGCGCTGAGGCCGAGGGGCGCCCCGGCCTTGGCATCCGGTCAGGGGAACCAGTGGATCGCCCCCAGCCGCCCTCCCTTCCCGCCCCAGCAGCAGTTTGGTGGAAGTCCCCAGGTACCACCACGTCCGACGGGGTACCCTGTGGCGCACGTGTCGCCTGGTGCGCCACAGGGGAGGTATGGTACGTCACTGGTATCAGCGGAAGGCAATTCAGACGTCCAGTTCCTTGGGTATAAACGGCCCCCGCATGCAGGTACCAGTATGCAACCAGTCACGGGAAATAAAGTACAAGAAGAAATCAGGGAGTTTATGGAAGTGATGCAACAGCATAGATACAAAATGCAAGCTCCGCACCATTCCCAGGTCGATCAAATAGATTTCCAAAACCGGAATAGCGCTTACTTCCAAGAAATGAGACGAAAACTCATGCAATACCAGAGTCGACTGAATTCTGCAGTGAATCCCCAACACAGCCCCGGCCCTCCTTGCAACCAGTCCAATAAGAATGCCCAGTACGATCCGAATCAATCCAGAGCCTCGAGTGCCTCTCCGGAAAGTGCCTCCGTCGAAGTGAATTTCGCAGATTCCAGACTTTCCTTCAAAATCCCAGTTCTAAGGAGAGACCCCAGATCCGCTTACAGCAGCTCAAGGGCTCTTAGAAATTCCGTATCAAACATCGAATCGCCCTCTTGCGTGGAGTCCATAACAAGTTCCCAGACAATTAAGACGTCGCCAGTAACTTCACCAGACCCTTTGTGTAACATGCAGAATTGGAGTGCGCCAAATGCTGCCAGTGTTCATCCTACTCGCCCGGACAGCAACCCTTATCCGCAGCCCCCAGAAAGTACTCGACTGACCCACGAGAATAACGAGCCGGTGACTAACTTAGGCTCTCCCCAAGCCACTAATGCTCACTTCCAAAACCAAGCCGTAGGAGATCCAACGGTTTCTTCTACCATAAGAAGCCCTGTTTCGCTTGAGCCCGAAGAACCTCCCACGACCAACGAGAAAACTGCCCTAACAGAAAATGCCGTTGACGCAAGAAAACCCAGCGATCCCGTACCCAGCGATCCCACGCCAAAGGCCAACGTGTTCAAACCTCCAAGGCGAATGTTTTCCAGGAAAGGGAAGTGCCTGTCCGGCCTCTTTCGAAAGACCCCACAAGGTTTCCCACATGTCTCGTTCGATTTCGAAGTGAACTGCTTTTTGTGCAATAGAATGGCGGCGGGAAACAACGTGTACGAGCACATGTTTTTCGGGAATTTGAAATGCATAGAGTGTGGTCATGTAGTGAGGTCGTGCGAAGACTTCAAGATTGTCAGACACAGCAATGTGGAGTGTGGTGCCAGTAAAAGAAAACACAGACTTGCCTCTTGGGCTGATTGTCCTGTGGAATTCTTAGTGTATAGTTTGGAACAATCCTTAGTGAGTAATAGAACAGAGGACTGTGCTCCTCCGTCAACTTGTGACGTTACAGATGAACTGGAGAACTACATGAAAAAGCTGTCACTACTTCGGTTTTACAAGCCATGGAAATCTGCATTCAGGAAATGCTCCGAATATGTAAAAAGTATGAATAAGCCAGAAGATGCACAGGAAGCGATCAGTAGGGAAGAGGTGGCCAGTGTTATTCCTGGAGATACAGAGGAAGAAACCAAACTTACATTCTAAGGGCACAGGGTAGGGAAGAGGGTAACAACGTTATCCTAGGTGATACACAGGAGGAAATTAATAACGAAGAGGTTACTCTAGGGACTACACAGGAAGAGATTAATAAGGAAGAAGTTAATAATTTTACTCTAGGGGCTACACAGGAGGAAATTCATATGGAAGAGGATAATAGTGTTACTCTAGTACACAGGAGATTTATAAAAAGTTAATGATTTTACTCTAGGGGCTACACAGGAGGAAATTCATATGGAAGAGGATAATAGTGTTACTCTAGGGGCTACACAGGAGATTTATAAGGAAGAAGTTAATGATTTTACTCTAGGGGCTACACAGGAGGAAATTCATATGGAAGAGGATAAGAGTGTTACTCTAGGGGCTACACAGGAAGAAATTCGCATGGAAGATGTTTTCCCAAGAGAGACACAGGAAGAAGCCAACAGTGAAGTAAACAATGATATTCGAAAGGACTCGCATGAGGAAATCAGAGGGCGAGAGACAAGCAGGGACGCGAGTGGATCCACGTTCTATGATCTCATTAGCAGTCAGAGCGAAAGACAAGAAGAACCGCAGGTGGAAGGAATAAGCATCAACGAAGCACTGGAACAGTATCAGGAACACTCTCAGCCATTGACAGACGACACTGTAACTAGAGGTGCCAAGCAAATACTACGAGAGAAGACATTGAATCTCCAGATGTTCGAAAGCGATTTGTATAGTGAAAAAGACGTTCACGATAACGATGCCTCAGAAGTCTCCAATGAGCAATTTGAAGATGGTGGTGATAACGCTAGTACTTACACTCAGGAACCAGTAGCAGACACACCGCAACAACGCACTTTATGGGAACCTAATAGTGACGACACCTTCGCAAGCATGGTTGAGGAGCCTGAAATGTGCGAATTCTCGCAGAGTATTTCAGAAAATCAAAAATATGAAAGGAGCCTCGGACTTTCAAAGAGACTTTCGACAAGTTCCCCAGAGCCAGAGGAGAACCAAGTAGTGTATCACTATCCCAGTGAAAAAGCCCCTGAGGAGTGTCCTATGTGTTACTACACTCTCTGTGCCACAATGTTTACACTGAACACGACTAACTTCAGATTGTCCACCGAATGTCCTGACTGCTGTTTGAAAATTTGTATTGTGTACAAAGATTCTGCGAAAAGATCAAAGAAGCCAAAAAGGCTTAAACATTGTCTGTGATTTTTTTCATGTTATAGACTAAGGATTTCATACAAGCACAACTGTGATACGTTTGTAACATCAGGAAATTTACTATATTTTTGTAAAGCATTTTGTACGAGACTACTCATTTGCTCATTTCTTGTGATTGTTATATATGTAAATAAAAAGTTATGAGTGTTATTAACTCGTATTCACTTTCCATAGATGACTATTCGTACGTCAGTTCCATTATAAGGTCATACATATAAGACATCATTACAAACACATTTTTTGAGTGAACGCTTATACATACATATGTGCAAATGCATTTAAGTATGCGGTTTTAAATTGCACATACATAATGTGAGGTCAACCCCCACCTTTCCCCCACCCTAGACTCGCCTTCTCCGACCTTATCCTCTTTACCATCGTTTCCTTTAGTCTCCCCTACACCTCCCTTTGTTTCGCCTCCCCTTCACCTGTATTCTTTCCACCCCTATTTTATCTATCTCCCCCCAATCTCTCTCTCTCTCTCTCTCTCTCTCTCTCTACCTCTCTCTCTCCTCTCTCTCTCTCTCTCTCTCTCTCTCTCTCTCTCTCTCTCTCCTCTCTCTCTCTCTCTCTCTCTCTCTGCCATTTGCCCGTCTCTGAAACCTCTACTCCAGGAGTGGCCAGTCAGTCGATCGACTGGTCAACCAAAAGCCTGTTTTAAGTCGATCACACAACTATACCTGTTAATAATACGTCCCTCAGAAGTTGTCCTGCAAATAGCTGCAATAGCATGTCCAGGTACTCATGATACTTGGATTATTATACTTCCCTTTTCTTTCTGGGAATAAGTTATATATACATTTATAATGATGTTACACTGTTACAGTTACATTTATGAAATATGTCTGAATCTGAGACTGGTTGATAGCATCAGGGTCACTGTAGAAAAAGTAGATCTCACAAAAGGTCGGCCACTCTACTTCGTTCACTATCTTTCGTCTCTTCTCCCGACTCTCTCGTTTTCTCTTCCTTCTTCGTTCACTCCTCTCGTTTGCTTTCATTTATCCTCGTTTCCCCTTTCTCTTTCTTTTCTTTCCCCCTCCATGCTAATATCGTTATCTACTTTTCCTATTCCTGCATTATGATATTTTATTCTTTCTCTCCCTCGCATTCTTTCCTTTTCCTTTCGTTAACCTTTCCTAATTCCTCGTATTCTTTGCGATTATTTTTTCCCATCCTTTTTTTCTCGCATGCTAATCCCTTCCTCGTTCTCCGTTTTCCTAGTCCATCCGCAATCTCTTACCCATTTCCTTCATTTCACTGACTTACGTTTATTTATCTCCTTTTCGTTTTTTTTTTTACTTAGTCTTACGTCCTCATACCTACCCCCTGATTCTCTACCCTAATACCCTACCTGTTCCATCAACACCATCGATACCTGTGGGGCCGGATTTACTAACGCCTTATGATACCGGAAATGGTTTGTTTATATCGTAAAACATGGTTCCGAATCCTGACTCGAAACTGGGCCATCTAGCGGGCGGCGCTCAAACACGTAAGGGTTGATTCCCGCTCACTTACGGTACACACCAATCTTTTATTGCTGCCATCCATGATGTTGATGAGATTGTTAATAAAACTATTGTATTTATTGTTCCATGAATATTACCCATTGTGCTTCGATCTCGAAATATGTCATATGTATAAACAAAACTCTTGCGGTTATGGTTTTCCAAGTTTTCCTCTTTGTGCTTCGAACAGTTCGAATTTTTGAGGGGCGAATAAGCCAGCTGGCGCCTTAGTTAGCAAGATTTTAACGGTCTTTTTTTCAAAGTTTGATTTTTTTCTTGAAGGTGTCTGGGAGTGTTATTAATTTTAAATATATTTATTTAGTTTACTCAACGGCTTTTAGAGATAAATTACGCCTCATAACAGACAACACCTTAACGTAGTTTAGAAAATATAGGTCATTTTACGTCATTTAAGGCTTTTTGTCATATTTTACATTAATTTAATTTTGAATTTACAATTACCGTTTATTCATCTCGGATACTTATTTTATAGATAATTGTATTACATTATATTTACGACAATTCACGTTACTTTCATAATAGTTGATTCTGTTAAATAATACATGCATAATGTATATATATATATATATATATATATATATATATTTATATATATATATATATGTGTGTGTGCGTGTGTGTGTGTGTGGTGTGTGTGTGTGTGTGTGTGTGTGTGTGTGTGTGTGCGTATGTGTGTGTGTGTGTGTGTTGTGTTGTATACACTAAAGCAGAGGGTAGACGGACAGAACTGCTCACCCCATGGATACCCCCCTACCCCATTACCTCCGTATATGACTTTCATAACAGGAAGTAGGGTAACGACTTCCGAAGTAATTATCGTAATTTACTGTAAATCCATTAACCGTGACTAAGAGAGAGCACGCACGCCCGGAGGGTGACCCTCCCCTTCCTCTCCAAAACAATAATGATAAGGAGAATAAGAGGAAGGAGAAAAAAAGAAGAAAAAACAAACATGCACCCAGCTGACATAGGTCAAAATTGTTACAGTGATTCACCTTTCTATTCCCACCGCCCCCCTTCTCACTCCCCCCCATACCCCCTCACCCCCAAACACAATCTGGGCATTTCTGTCCCTCCTCGGGTACCCTTACCTCCGTGCCAGACGTGTCATAACAGGAAGCAGGCATGTGACGGTGCCCCTCCCCCACTCCTTTTCTCCAAAGGAATAATAATAGCTATTCCTCATGCCTGAACATGTAAGAGGAAGAAGACGAAGAGACAGACAAACAAACGTGTACCCAGCTGCTGGTATAGGTTAAGGTATTGATCCAATAAAAGATGTTACCCCACCCCCCCTTCTCTCCCCATCCCCCCCCCCACATCCCCATTATCCTCGCCCAAACAAACCACAAGTCTGGATTTCTTGTTAACAATTATAAATTTTGTTACATGTGAATTCACATTCGGCCCAACAATTTTCGGGTGATTCTGTAGATGCCAATAAACGTTTTATATTCTTCAACTCTAGTATCTCCCGTGTGATGCCAAGGATTTATATATAGATATATATAAGAGAACAGCAGCAACATTAAGTTATCTGATATTATGTCATGATCTCAACAAGGATAGGGATAAGGATAAGTCCGATATGCGAAGCTGAGCCTCGCCTGGGCTGGGGATTGTGTTGTCACACTAGCACTTTTTCCGTCAATTTTTAGACAATTTTCTGATTTTCACCATTTTTTAACGAATTGTTGATTTCCCAGTCAGACGATAATGATCGTTTCCGTCTGAAAACCTTTTCGTCAACTTTTTCAGCCAAGCCTAGTCAAACCAAGAGCTATATTCGAGAATGTTTGTATTTATATTAAAAAACTTTGTCTAAAAATTGACGGAAAAAGTGCTAGGGTGACAGCGCCTTTCGTCAGCCTGAGCCGACCAATCACCGTGCCCGCTTGTGCTGACGGGACAGTGCCAAGTCGCAGCGGTAATCTCCTGACGACAATTGCAGCTTCTCGTTCCTGGGCGAGACGCGAACCACCAAGGCATTTATTTGTGTGTGTATATAATATATATATATAATAATAATATACTATTTATATATATAAATATTATATATGTGGTGTGTGTGGGTGTGTGTGTGTGTGTGTGTGTGTGTGTGTGTGTGGTGTGTTGTGTGTGCGTGTGTGTGTGAATATATGTTTGTATATATATATGTGCGTGTGTATTTGTGTATATACACATAATTGTGTGTGTACAAACGAAAATGTGTCGTGTGTCGTTGTTGTGTGTGTGTGCGGCGT